CAGCTAGGAAACACACTCACTACCTTAGAAGCCGGCTCGAGTCAGAAAATACTCCCAGGAATGCAAATGCTGTGTGTGGTTCAGAAAGGACAGAGGCACAGGAGCTTGGAACTGAAGGGGCAGGCTACTGTGACCCTTGACCTCTGCCTTGACACGGGGACTTTAGAGGGGCTACAAGGAGTCTGTCTTCAGGCTTCAGAAACTTTTCTAAGCTCTAAAAAACAGATGGGTGCCTATGACTCACCCATTCCAAACTACTCTATTTCAACTGGAGGATCCACTGGGAGCCACAAACCTCCAACCCTTCCCCTCGATTCCAGCCCCCATAAACTGCACACCCTCCTGGGCAGCCATGAGCACTGGGTCTCCACCCACAGAGGAGGGAATGCAACAGGCTCTGTGCTTGACCGGAGAGAAGGGGGACGGGTGGCTTTGAGGGTGGCCTTCAGCACCCAACCTGGACCAGCTGGGCACAGGGGCATCACTGGATGACGGTCAGGAAGCCTGGGCCCTCGCCTGTCCACCAAACAGCACTCTGTGGCCTACCTAGAGGGTAGTCAAGGACTCGGATCCCCAGCTCGCCACGGACAGGTGAGTACACACACCAAGGGTCACCAAGGCGCAGAGACTCTACCTACACCTGCTGTCGAAGCGCGGCAGGGTGACGGTCGCCGGGGGCGCTCTCTGACGTCCCCAGACCCGTGAGCCCTGTCCGCGCAGACAGGTGCCAGCCCGTGCCCGCGGCGGGGGGGCCCGGGCAGTCACCGCACACGCGCGGGAAAGGGCCAGCACTCCCGCCCAGGCCGCGCGGCCCACTGACCCGAAGTCCTGGTCCATAGACTTGAAGAAGAATTTGTAGGCGTGCACCGGCCGGTTGCTGAGCACGTTCTTGAAGTCCGCCAGCGTGACGCGCTCCGGAGCCACGGGCAGCTTGACCAGGTACGGCGTCTCTTCCTCGTCCATGTGGTAGATGATCTTGGTCTCCGCCATGGCGCGGCAGCGGCGACGCGGAACCCGCGCAGCGTCAGGGCCCGGCTCACCTCTCGGACGCGGGGCGCCCTCCCAAACCGCCGGCCCGCGCCCCGCCCGGCCGCCCCGCGGCTCCTGTGCGCGCCCGCCCCGCCCGGTCCCGGCTCGCACCCGTTCCCCGCCTGTTGTCCCGCGGCCCGCGGCCGCCCATCCGCTGCCAGCCCCGGAGCGGGCGCGAGGAAAAGCAGCTCCGAGGGTTACTGCCGCCCACCGCCCCCTCGGGCTGCTCCAAGAACCGCCTGGTGGGGTTGAGCCCGCGGCCACCGGAGGGCGCGCCAGAGCCGGTGACGTCACTGGACGCCCGCAGCGCGAGCGGGGCGGGGCTACGCACGCGCAGGGCGGGTTCGGGGCGGGGCGGGGCTGCGGCTGGCTCACGGGCGGGGTAACCGGGACGGCACCCGGCGGGTTCTGGAAGCCTAGCTGGTTTGCAGTACGACAGGGCAGAACTCTGAGTTCTCCTCTCGCCAGGAGCCGAAAGCCCTACCCTGCGCTCGCAACAGATTCCCAATAGGCAGGAATGCGTGCGGCGTCTGGGTCTGGGATGTGTGTGCAAATGGGCACACTCAGCCCCAGGAAGGCACAGGAACCCTGAAGAGGTTGCACCCTTTGAGCCAATAAGATCTGCCAGGGAGCAGAGGAGAGTCGTCCTGCTGGGGTGGTCTGGTTCTCCCGACCCAATCCCAGTGCCCGGAATCCGGAGGCGCTGGCCACTCTGGAGACTTCCTGTCGCTCCACAAGAAACTGAAGATACCTGTGTCTAGCCCTAGACAGCGAGAACCTTACTGCGCCCCGTGTTAATGCCGAACTCAGTTCTTCTGCCTATTGCCTTATTGGATTTCCCAAGAAACTTAAATGAGTAAATACTAGTGGGGACACAGATGTGTGCACAGAGATGTCCAGGCGAGGCCCAGGCTGCGACTGAAGCCAAAGGGATTTTTGCCTTGGACATTGTAGAAAAAAAAAAAGGTGTCCTCCCCAGGCCCAGGAAGACGGCGATGCCCCTCTCATCCTGTAGAGTTGAGCCACTTACTGCCTTGCTAGCCTGAAGCTACTTTAGGCCTACTCCAAGATGGCCTAAATTCCTTCGCTAGCCAGTAATAAGAGTAGAATAATGCATAGGATACTGGTCAGTGATGGAGACAAGGGGTGCCTATTGTAACCTGGGACCATTTACAGACACAAGGAAAGACTCCGCCGCTGGGATGCATACTAAAGGCCTCTGAAGTCAGCCTAGGCAGAGTCCTTGGGAGTAATCCCTTACTCCACAGGGGCCTGCTACCCTGGGAACCCTTTTCCCAGCAGCTGGTCCTCTTCTTTTTTTTTTAAATACTTATTTATTTATTATGTATACAATATTCTGTCTGTGTATATGCTTGCAGGCCAGAAAAGGGCACCAGATCTCAATACAGATGGTTGTGAGCCACCATGTGGTTGCTGGGAATTGAACTCAGGACCTTTGGAAGAGCAGGCAATGCTCTTAACCACTGAGCCATCTCTCCAGCCCCTGGTCCTCTTCTTTGAATCTCTACAGAAGTAACCTGAAGGAGCCAGGCAAGATGGCTTCAGCGGGTCTGCTCAAGGGAGAAGGAAGACAGTTCTATTCTAGGGTGCACCTCAGGCTAGACACACGATACTGCCAATCTATTTATTGGTCAGTAGCACTCATAATCAAGGGTCCCCACTGCCCAGCTGCTCTTGTTCCCACCTGACACCCCAAATTATAGGAGGAACTAGAAGCCAGAGGCCTGGTAGGAGTCATGGTACTGATGTTGATGCTGATAGGGGCAGGTTGGGTCACTGTGGAAGAGGTGGGTGTGAGGCCAGAACCTGTGCCATTATAGGAGGGGTCTTCTCTAGTGGCGGTGTGACCACTGATGGGACCAGAGGCCACTAGCGTGAGGTATTTCCTCAAGCCACACCCCAACAGGTCACTGAGGTCCTTGTGGGTGATTGCCATCCCTTCCTGTCCTCACTGTTCTTGGGAGAGCATTGGAGGGGAGCAAGAGTTAATAGGAACAAAAAGATGGCTCAGCTACTTAAGGTGCCCACTGCTAAGTCTGATGACTTGAGTGTGAACCCCAGGACCCACATAGTGTAGGCTGAAGACCACCTTAGGAAGGAGAGGATAGATTTCTGCGAGTCATCCTCTGACCCCCATGTTCATACATACCATTCATCTATCTACAAACATTCACACAATGTAGATGAAAAGAAACGATAAAGCAGGATATGACAACATGTGCTTTAATCCAGTCCCAGCACTAGGGAAGCAGACACCGATGGATCTCTGTGAGTTCCAGACCAGGCTATATAGTGAGACCTTGTCTCAAAACAAACATCTGGGCCTCCATGAGCACTGCGCACATGTGGTACACAGACAGACATACAAGCAAGCAAAACACCTATATACATAAAATAATAAATTTTTAAAAATTTAAGATATATATATTATATATATAATAATAATAAATATAATTTATTTTTATTTTATGTGCAATGGTGTTTTGACTTCATGTATGTCTGTGTAAGGGTATTGGGTACACTGGAACTGGAGTTACAGAAAGTTATGAACTGCCACGTGGGTGCTGGGAATTGAACCTGGGTCCTCTGGAAGAGCAGTTGTTGTTCCTAAATGCTGAGCCAAATGTATACAGCATTCCTTCCATGTATGCCTGCAGGCCAGAAGAGGGCACCAGACCCCATTACAAATGGTTGCGAACCACCATATGGTTGCTGGGAATTGAACTCAGGCCCTTTGGAAGAACAAACAGGCAATGCTCTTAACCTCTGAGCCATCTCTCCAGCCCCTAGCTTTAAATTTTTTAATTTTTTAAAAAGATTGAGGGGGCACTCGGGAGGCAGAGGCAGGCGGATCTCTGTGAGTTCGAGACCAGCCTGGTCTACAGAGCTAATTCCAGGACAGGCTCCAAAGCCACAGAGAAACCCTGTCTCGAAAAACCAAAAAAAAAAAAAAATTGAGGGGGCAGCTGGAAAGGTGACTCAGAGGTTAAGAGCACTGGCTTCTCTTCCAAAGGTCCCGAGTTCAATTCCTAGCAACCACATGGTGGTTCACAACCATCTGTAATGAGATCTGCTGCCCTCTTCTGGCCTGCAAGCATACACACAGACAGAGCACTGGGTACGAAAGAAAGAAAGAAAGAAAGAAAGAAAGAAAGAAAGAAAGAAAGAAAGAAATTTTTATGAGAGATTGAGAGAGAGAGAGAGGAAAGGATCCTGTGTCCTCTCTTAGCTGCTTTTCTTTTTTTCTTCTTTATAGATTTATTTATTTATTAAGTATACAGTGGTCTGCCTGCACACATGCCTGCAGGCTAGAAAAGGGAACAAGATCTCATTACAGATGGTTGTGAGCCACCATGTGGTTGCTGGGAATTGAACTCAGGAACTTTGGAAGAGCAGGCAGTGCTCTTAACCTCTGAGTCATCTCTCCAGCCCTCTTAGCTGCTTTTCTACCTCTGCTTCTACTGAGGTCCCACAGCCAGTGTCCAGTCATGATTAGCCCCAGGAGACCAGTACCTGAAAACCAATACCTGCTCCTGTTGGCCAAGCGCTGCCTCTTGGGGCTCTTTCTGCCCAAATCTCCGCAGACCTGTATCCTTGGAGAGCCTGCCTGTCTATCTTTGTTCTTCTTTTTACTCCATCTTAGCATCTGCTTCTCAAAGGACTGGGCCAACACCATTTCCTTCTATGTCCTATCTCCCCCTCTGCCATTGTATACTCCCCTGTCTTTCCTGTCCACACAGGACTTGGAAAAGGGATTGAAAGTCCTTCGCCATGAAAAATGGGTTCTTGTGTCACAGGATATCTGATCCTAGGAGAACTTAGTCATAGAGCTTCCACTCAAGGGGGTAGGGAAGGATAGCAGAACTCATGTGAAGGTTATGAGCGCCCTGGGGGTTCCCAAGGCCCGGATATGTCCTCCCTGAACAGAAGGGGAACAGCAGGGCCAAGACTGAGAATCAGATGTGTTCTTTATTTTGACATGAAAACTTCCCCAGTAGGCGCTGCTTGGTGTGGCAGCGCAGGCCACTCGGAACCTTCTCCCCCATCTTCAGCCAAAGCAGAGGACAAGTAGAGCCCCAGCAAAGGGGGATGTGGAGCCCAAGAGCCACACGGTACCCAGTAACTGCTGGTGAGACTCTTGGAAGGGATCTGAAGCAGAACAGGGGCAATGGGCCAGCTCCAAGTGGAGGGCCCGTGACTCAGAACATGTGACAGCAGGGCTCTGAGTGATGCATAGGCGTAGTGCAGTCCAGAAAGTCCCTAGGGGCTCCCCAAGACAATGGTTAACATGTTGAACAGTGACTAGGAGTCTAAATGTCTTCCTGACCCTAGCAGGAAGAAGCCACGAGAGACTGTGCATTTAGCGGACGTTGTGTCAAAGTTGGGAGTACAGGTGACTGAAAGGCAGCAACCATACTATACCAGCGTCTCGAGGGAACCCACAGTTGCTCACCAAGGTGAGGGTGATCAGCAACCATACTATACCAGCGTCTCCAGGGAACCCACAGTTGCGCACCAAGGTGAGGGTGATCAGCAACCATACTATACCAGCGTCTCCAGGGAACCCACAGTTGCTCACCAAGGTGAGGGTGATCAGCAACCATACTATACCAGCGTCTCGAGGGAACCCACAGTTGTGCACCAAGGTGAGGGTGATTCTTGGAAGAACAAAGTGCAGGCAGCTGCTCGGCCAAATTCAGGCCAAGTTTCTACGAAAGCGGGACCAGCCGCTGAGAAGAAGCCGGGAGTGCCACAGGAGAGTCAGGGAGACATCCTTTGGTATAGAGCTGCTGGCCCAGCCAGAAGCTCAGGATCCTTTTATTTGCAGTACTCCTTCCTGAACTCTGGAAGCCAAGAAAATGGCTAGTATCTGCTCTCTGTTCCTTAGCCCCAGTGGGAAAGTCAGGGAAGATATTTGGCGTGACTTCCCAAGGCCTTCTCAGAGAAGATAGCAGGAGTCTCCTATCTACAGGGTCCTGTAGAGTCATGTGTGGGATGGGGTGTTGGGTTCTCCCTTAACTGCTCACCTTTATCCAGATCCACATTCTTGGCAGGCAGGGGACTGTGGGCCAGCTCAGCCCTCTCCTTCAGGATGTTGTTTTTGTAATCTGGTTAGAAGAAAAGAGTTAAGTCCCACCCAAAAATGTACTTCCCCCGGACCCTTGTGGCCCTCACTCCTACCTAGCTGGATGTCCTCAGTCCTATAAGGGGCCTGGTCCCTTGTGGCCGCAGCAAACTCCATCATGTTCATATCCTTCCTAAAGGGAGATGGCAGGTTAGGAGGCCAGGGCAGGGCAGGTCCGGGAGAAGGCTTGGGCAAGCAAACTCACCCCTTGGATTTCCCAGCATTTTTGTCCGAGGTCTCGCATCCTGTGAAGAGAGGCGTATTTAGTCAGTCTCACTATCCTCCCTTAACCTGGGCCCCTCTGTTCCAAGGGTCCCACCTCACCTCCGCGGTGACGATGGCGTGTCGCCAAGACTACAGTGATGAGCAGCAAGATGAAGAGCAGCAGGGTGGCCAACACATAGCCCAATTGCTGGAAGAAGTGTGCGTGGCTCTCTGGGACAATGACGTTGATGACGCTGTGGCCTCGGGATCTACTTACCAGTGTGGGATCTACAGATAAGTAGCAAGCATCAGAAATCTTATGTATGGCATGCTGTGCGTGGTGGCGTATGCCTTCAATCCCAGCACTCAGGTGACAGAGGCAGGCGGATTTCTGTGAGCTCGAGACCAGCCTGGTCTACAAGAGCTAGTTCTAGGACAGGCTCCAAAGCTACAGAGAAACCCTGTCTCAAAACACCAAAAAAAAAAAAAAAAAAAAAAAAAAAAAAAAAAAAAAAAAAAAAAAGCAGAGAGAGAGAGAAAGGAGAAAGAAACTCTCCGCGGTACCCTCAGCACCCTAGGTCGGTCACACTAGGGCCCCTTCTTGGGGCCAGCAGGCTACAACACACCTGGGCTAGGAGCAGTGTTGTGGCCAGACCCATTACCGGGAGAGGCAGGAGCAGGTGGCTCAAAGGCAGCCTCAGTGACCTGTAGGTGGAAGACTCTGCGCTCGTGCAGGCCGCAGTAGTGGTGGTGCAGGTGGCAAGAATAGATGCCCTCATCAGCCGGCTCGAGCGCATCTATGCGTAGGGAGAAGTCGCCGCGTGCAAAAGCGTCGGCGTTTACTGCCACGCGATCACGCAGGAAGGATGGTCCGTAGGCGCGGCGCTCGCCAGATGCGTACAGGTCAAGCAGGCGGTCAGCTCGGTCGTGCGACACCCCAGGCAGCTGTCGGTCCCAATGCACCACCTGCTGCGCCTCCTCTAAGTGGTGGTCCGTCCACAAGTGCGCACGGTTCACGCAAGTCAGCAGTGCCGGCGCGCCGCGGGTCACCACCATCACTTCCTTCTCGCCGTCCCAGTACGCGCGAGCTAACAGGGCTGAGGATGCATTGAGAGAGGCAGCCAGATCACAGCCCGGTAGAGGTGAGGAAGGGGAAAGACCGGCTGCGGCAGGGGTGGGAGTAGCAAAGGAGGGTGAGGGGCGCACTCACGATCGTCGGTGACCTCGAGGCGCACGGCCAGGCTCTCGTAGAGGTGACAGTAGTGGTGGTGCAAGTTGCAGGTATACACCCCTTCGTCTCCCTCCTCCACAGCTGCTCCGCAGAAGATAACCTCAGCGTGTGGGACCCATCCTCCTCCATAGTCCCTCCCCTAAAATGGTTCTGTCCCCTACATGGCCCCGCCCCTTCGAGTTTCCACCCTTTCACAGGCCTCGCCTCGTCAAAGGTATGTGTCCGCCCCCCTGCCAAGGTTTCAACTCTTGCCAAAGTTTCAGCCCCACCACGGTTCCACAGCGTACCACGGATGAGCAGTGAGAAGTTGCCGTCGTGGAAGGCAGAAGGCGACAGCAGCAGGCGGCCGTGGTCGTGCGGCTCGTACACACGCTGTTCACCCGCCGAGTACATATCCACGAGTCGGCGCCCTTGGCTGCCCGGGACGCCGCTGAGGTCCCAGTGGACCACGCGCTGGCGGTCGTGCAGCCGGTCTTGGGTCCAAACCATGCGCGGGCTCTGGCAGCGCAGCACCGCCTGGGTCCCAGCTGCCCAGCTCACCACGGACTCGGACACCACAGAGCTGCTGGCTGCTGCGGTACCTGAGGGCCCTTGTCAGGAAGGAGGAGTCAGCGGCAGAATGGGTTGGGTTAGAAGGGGACCCTAAAGGGGCCTGGCCCAGAGCTGGGTAGGGGATACTAACCTGAGTACAGAAGGACAGCGGGGCCTGTAGGAGAGGAATAAAGCTGTCGGCATTCTTCGCCTTTGATCCCAGGACCCACAAGCTGGAAGGCCACTTGACTTGCGGCCTCCTGGCATTGTGTTGCCATGATGCCCACTTAACCAGTGCAGGTTACACCCTTAGTGTCACATTCCTGGCTATATTGACAGCTTTGCTAAGTGAGAAATCGGACACCTGGCCGTGAGCTGCAGGGAACTGCTCTAGCATGGCACCGGGACAACCGGCAGTAATATCTGCGTCTGTGCCGGACCTTTAGGACCCAGTCAGACTTAGTCATCCATAGTCCTGTCCTACACCCCTTCCAGGCGGTACTGCGGTGCCAGTCTGGACCCCTGCTACAGTCCCAACAGGTGACACAGGGAGCAAATCCCGATCTGCCACCACTGGCCCCAGAGATTGCTGTGGGAAGTGGCGTAAGAGCCAAAGTTCTAGGGAAAATGTGCCTGGTCAGCAGGCCAGAGTGGGCAGGCCTGGGGGCCCTGAGGAAGGGGTTGGAGCAGACTCTGTTAGTCCCTTAGCTGTCAGCCCCACTAACTCCCTTCCCCACATCTGGGAGGACTGCGCCCTGAGCAGCTGACCCTGAAGTCACACAGCGGGCGCAGGAAGCACCCTTGGCTACATCCTCCCCATTTGGGCCCTCTGGGATTTCTGTGAGAGTACATGAAGGCTTCATGAATTGAAGGTGAACTGCTGTTTTGAGGCACCCAGCCCAGTCTCTTTGCTTTGATGAGTGCTCCCTACTCCTCCCAGCCTCAACACAGCTCATCCACTCACTGTCCCACGCCCAGTCCCACCCTCTCTCACACTCACTCTGAAGAAGCACCAGTTTCCACAGCAAGACACAGGACAGTCGTTCCATGGCGCCTGCAGGGACCGCGCTGTGCTTTGTCTTACTCGGCTCTAAGTCTCCAGAAAAACAGCCGACCCCCTCCCTGCCAGCACCCGCTGACATCACGGAGCTGTGGGCCGGGTCTGTGTCCCGCCTACTGCGCCGCTCTACTGCTTGGCCTCCCCCAACCTCGGCTGGCCTGTAGTGTGGCAGCCACCCCGTCCAGGCCCAGAAGGTGGGAGGGTCCGAGTAGATGCTCTCGGCCAGTCGCTGGTCAGTCCTGGGGAGGGGCAGATGAAGAGGCCTGAGTGTGAGGATTCCTGAGGCCATGTGGGTGCCAAGCATCTGGTAAACTTTCTGAACTGCAGCAGAACTCGTGTCTGGATGTGCATGGTCTGCATCCTCTCCCATGCCATTAGCCAGGCCAGGGAACCCGGGCTGTTTTCTCCATTCTTATATTCTCCCTGCCAGATCAGGCGGTTCTTCCAGCTACAATTCGGATGAGGGTGATTTTACTATGCCCTTCCTTGGCACCATGGTGGGCTACCTGGGGACAACACGATGGCACTATGGGTACTGTTATCTTTTAGGATCGAGAACGACTAATCATCCAGGCAGGCACAGTGGCCCACACCTTTAATTCTAGCACTTGGGAGGCAGAGGCAGGTGGATCTCTATGAGTTTGAAGCCAACCTGGTCCTCCTAGTGAATTCCAGAGCAATCATGGCTACACACAGTGAGACCCTGTCTCAAACAAAACGAAGAACAGCCAACCAGGGAGATGACACCGAGGACAGAGTGCCCGTGTGGTCAGATTTTCCTCATGGCCTGACGATGGCGGCTGTCCACATTCATAAGGCAAACCCAGTCCTGAAACTAGGACTGGATTACTATGATCTGGGAAACCTCCACTTGGAGGAAAGGGGAGTGGAACGCTCCCAACAGAAAGCATAAATTTGAAACCCTGGGAAAACAAAGTCATATAAACAAATGGGAAATAACAGAGCAGCACTGTGTACCAGTCCACTCCTACTAGTTAAGCAAACCTCAGAACAAGAAAGGAAAAGAATCCAAAAGACCTCAGAAGCCCTTAAGCAGGCTAAGCCACTTCTTTAGATAGTAATCGGTACAGGCCCTATCCCTGGGGGCTGGGGTGGGAACCCCAAGTCCTCAGACAAGCCAGAACCTCAGCCTAGCTGGCTCTTGGAGAGGAGGGGGAAACAGGGAGGACCAGTAGTGAGGTTATAGGAAGTCTCTCAGGACTTAAGGGAGCCACCCAGGATCTGGGCCAGGCAGAGCACGAAGTTGGCCCCCAGCTCTTCCCTGGGCCTTTTATTCTGGAAAAACAAGTCCCACCCAGCAGGCCATCTCCCAATCCTCCTGTTCTGGCCTTCCCTTCTGTTTTTCTAAGTGGTGTTGATGTCTGTCTCTACCCCACACTCTGGGGGATTGACTTCTGCTGTATCTGTCTCCCCTCCCCACTCTCCCATGGTTGTCCCAGGCTGTCCTGTTTCTCTCCACGGAGGCAGAGTATTCAGGAATTGATGGAAGGACACAGAGGTGGCCCAGGCCTAGGAGGAGTCTGGGGCACCTGTTCTACACCTCGGCTCAGATCTTCCCTGTGCAGACTCCTGGCCTCAGGGCTCCACTTGAGGTTTGGGGAACTCTCAAACTACAAATCCCAATAGCTTACTTCCAGGTCACAGGCCAGATGCTGGTATCTATGGGAGCCTTGACCCCGCCCCCCCTCGAGACACACACGGGAACAGATGACCCTTGGCCAACACCTTCTTCCCCCATCCTACCCTCTACTGTAGGCCAGAGGAGCCAAGATGGACAGCAGAAGTCTGTTTGCCCTCCTCCCAGCCCCCACCACCACATCTTTAAGCAGGAAATAACCACAGACAAGAACTGGAGCCAAGCAGGCAGCCTGGGCTGCTAACCAAGCCACCTGCCCCTCCCACAGCCAAAGGCCTGAGCCACTCCAGCTCCTTCCCAGTCTGTACTGTGGAGCCCCCAGCTCCCTGCCCCTTGCTTCCCAGTCCCACCTAGAATCTTTGTCCCTCTAGAAAAAGAACAGACCAGGACAAAGCAAAACCACGGACCTCATAGTACTTTGGCCAAGCCTCAGCCAACCCAGAACCCTAGACCTATCTCCCTTTCTTTTAGGAGTGTGGCCAGCCAAGGGGTATCAGCCAGCCCACTAGGCACAAAGACTAAGAATCTGATGCTGGCTCCTATTCTTGGTGACTCGGACATTCCAGGCAGCCTGGCTCATTGGGAAGAAAAACCACAGAACCAGAGATTCAGTCAGGCTCGGCTCCCCCGCCACAGGCTTCTTGTGGTCCCGAGGAATATATTCAGACCAGACACAGGCACAAACCGAGAGCTGCTTATGCATCCACTGTTGCTCGTCATAAAGACCCACATCGGTCTTCATTTATCCAGCAGTTACTGCACACCCACCGTGTGCCAAGCACTCAAGATTCGGTGCTGAACTAGATGGATGTACCAGTCTGCCCTGTGGACAGACCAGCACACTTATCTTTTATAATCTATTAATTAGTTAATTAATTGATTAATCAATTTAAGACATAGCCCTGGCTGCCATGGAACTCACTATATAAACCAGACTAGACCTGAACCTACAGAGATCCACCTGCCTCTGCACACCAAGTGCTAGGATGATACATACTGCACACCTCCAGTTTATGATCATTTACAAATATTTATATGTGGAGGCTGGAGAGATGGCTCAGCGGTTAAGAGCACTGGATGTTCTTCCAGAGGTCTGAGTTCAATTCCCAGCAACCACATGGTGGCTCACAACCATCTGTAATGAGATATGGCGCCATCTTCTGGCCTGCAGGCATACTGCAGACCAAACACTATATACATAATAAATACATCTAAAAATTATGTATTTTTTTGTGTATGGGTATTTCACCTGCACATGACTGTGTACTACCTGAAGTGCACTCTGAGGCCAGAAGAGGGCATCAGATCCTCTGGAACTGGAGCTACAGGTAGTAGCCACCTTTAGGGGCTGGGAATTAAACCTGGGTCCTCTGTAAGAGCAACCAGGTCTCTTAACCACTAGGTCATCTCTCCAGCCCCTTATGATCACTTCTAAATGACAGAGGTGGGATGGGCATGGTGGCACATGCCTCGTATCACAGCGTTCAAGAGGTGAGGCAGGAGGATCACCATCAGTAAGAACTTGTTTTAAAATAAATGTAACAAAAACAGGTCTGGGCCATCTTACTAGATTGGCCTGATGGCACACAAAATTACTAAAGTGGTTTTTAGAACTGCCTCAGACAGACAAGACGTGGAGAAAACGGTCCCTATCAAATCCTCACAGTGAGTAAAAGTCCAAGAATTCCCAAGACTATGGCCGTTTGGGGTCTGCACCATGGAGGCCTCTGTGTAAGTGTGAGTGTGAGCAGCACAGTCAGATGCACACTAGATTAGGCTGCATAACATTAAAAAGTGAAAGAATGTCCCGCCAGGCGGTGGTGGCGCACACCTTTAATCCCAGCACTCAGGAGGCAGAGGCAGGTCGATCTCTGAGAATTTGAGCCCAGCTTGGTCTACAAAGCAAGTTCCAGGACAGGCTCCAAAGCTACACAGAGAAACCCTGTCTCCAAAAACTAAAGAAAAAAATGGGAGAATGTCCCTGCTCTAGTGGCAAAGCCACCAGAACAGGTGCAGGGAGCTAGTCCCTCCAATCCAGGAGAACAGCTCCCTAGAACTAAGAATCCCACTGGGCCCAGCAGTGGTGGCGCATGCCTTTAATCCCAGCACTCGAGAGGCAGAGACAGGAAGATCTCTGTGACTCTGAGGTCAGCCTGGTCTGCAGAACAAGTTCCAGGACAAGCCCCAAAGCTACAAAGAAACCCTGTCTGCACGGGGTGGGCAACAGAACAAGGCCTAAGGGTGGCCTTTGGGAGCTGAGATAGTCCTAGACCACAGCCAAGACAAAATGTCTTCATTCCTACAGCGTGGAGGAAGCAGATTCTGTAGGCAGTTTAGAAGTGGGCCACCAGTCTTTGGAGATTCTCTGACATCAAGATTTTGAGACTTTTGAGCAGGGCTAGACCATGGAGCTCTGATGTAATAGATGTGACTTTTTACACAGCAGCAAGGGACCAACCCAACTCCATGGTAGCACTGTTCATTTCATAAAGAATGATTTGCCGGTGTCCACAGCCCCTGGTTTCTCAGTAAGGGCTGGGTATGATGTATGATGGGGGCCAACAAGGACAAACTGCTGGGCCAGAAGTCCATCTGGATCTGTGTGGACCCCTCATGTCCAAGAGGTGGGGGATATGGTCCTGGTGCACTCAGACCATAACAACCATCATTCTACCCTCAGCCTGGTGAGAGAGATTTCTGTGAAGCAGTTGAAACCAAGCCCTTGCACATCAAAGCAGGCAGTTCACCACAAACTGTACCCTTGGAATGTGTTCTGAGTTCTGACCCACTTTCTAGAAATAGTCACTTGCATGTCTGTTGGTTCTCCTAGGGTCCAAAGGGTTTGTTCCACTGTGTTTCTTACACCGCAGGCAGAGTGCTCTGTGGACCCCGTTCTAAAGGCCTGGTTATGTCTTTGGGAGGGAATGCCAGTTACTAGGGCTCTGTTATCCTGGAGAGATCCAGAAGCCACTGGGAGAGAATCGACACAGTAAGAACCTGGGACTAGAAAAACGAAACATAGAAATGTTATTTAACAGACCATTATATACTTCTTTGTTGTTATTTTGTTTTGTTTTAATTATTTTTAAAGAGATTTATTTATTATATATATACAGGGTTTAGACATGCAGGGCACCAAATCTCATTATAGACGGTTGTGAGCCACCATGTGGGTGCTGGGCACTATGTGGGTGCTGGGAATTAAACTCAGAACCTCTGGAAGAGCAATCAGTGCTCTTAACCTCCAAGTCATCTCTCCAGCCTCTTGTTTTTTGAGACGGGTTTTTCTCTGTGTAACAGTGCTGGCTGTCCTTTGTAGATCACTGTGTAGATCAGGTTGGCCTCAAACTCACAGAGATCCATCTGCCTCTGCCTCTCAAGTGCTGGCATTAAAGGTGTGTGCAACTGTGCCTGCCTGAGTGAGATGCTGTTATTT